GTTAAGGAATAAGGGCGTCGACTTCTTAAGACTGCTTCCTGCTGACATGGGGGGCGTTGACCATCTTTGGGGGACCCGAGAAGGTTGGGGTGCTGCCACGTCCTGGGGAAGCTGGTTGTTTCATTGTAGTCCAGGCTGTATGCAACTCCCTGGTGCCTCTTAGACCTGGCAAGATGTTGACAGAGCAGAAAACAAGGTTGAGTTTAGAAAAAATTTTTTTCTTAGGTCCTGTCACTTGAGGGGAAGATTGTAAGATGAGGGAGGGGTTCCCGAGGAGTCCCAAGATGAGTGAAGGGAATTTGGGACCGGGGAAAGGTTGAATATTACCTGGAGTGAATCTGACCCACCTTTCACTAGGTATGGGTTGAAGAGGAGGAGGTTTATTATAGTTGTGAGGGAAAGCACAGGCAGAGAGCATCTAGAAGGGTCATGACCATGAGAGGAGAGGCATGAGGGTAGCGGAGGCATGTGGAGGCCAGAGACTGCTGCCTGGTGCCTCCCTTAATCACTCTCCACTGTATTTATTGAGCAGGGCCTCTTGCTGAACCTAGAGCTTGCTGATTAGCTAGCCTAATTAGACAGCTTGCCCTAGGGGATCTTCTTTCTCTGTTGTATGTCTACCTTGATTTAATACTTTTACCTCAGTGCCTTTGGCTTCAACAGAGTAAATACCTGGGAGGCCCTAGGGCCTCCCCAGCTTGGCCTTGAACCAGGTAGCAGTGAACACTGTCTTTAGGACTTGGGTCTGCCTTCAGTCCCCTGGGACACTGAGCAGTGAATTAAAGTAATGGCAGAGGAGGAACTTCTGGAAGTCACAGGAGTCTGGAAAAGTAATACCAGAAATGGCACCAAGGCTGGGGAATGGGGAGGGCTGGGGTGAGAAATGCTTTTTTTAACTCACTACTTTGCATGGGATAGAGTTTGTACTTGAGGTAGGAGAAAGTCAAGACTCACCCCAGAAAGTGGACACAGGTGCATGGTTTAAACAGTTGTTGACAAGACAGGCTTGTAACTGAGCTCCGGCTCCACGTTGTGCTAGCAGACATCTGTGAGAAGCCTGTCTCTCAGCCTTGCTTTCTTGCGTGCCATTGTAGGCATGGTATTCATTCCTGTCTTCAAGGTTCTGAGTCAAATATGACGTCACCAGGCCTACATGAAGGAAGCCCCAACCCAAAGGCTACTCTACCCCTTTCTTTTTGTTCTTTCTGTGTTTATTTTTAGAAACAGTTTTTAAATTTTACTACTAAAACAGATTTATGTTTTCAGGGGAAAAAAGCCAATAGGATCAACAAAAAACAAGTAGTATTCTTTTTTAAAAGATTTTATTTATTTATTATATATACAACATTCTGATTCCATGTATATCTGCACACCAGAAGAGGGCACCAGGTTTCATAATGGATGGTTGTGAGCTACCATATGGTTGCTGGGAATTGAACTCAGAACCTCTGGAAGAGCAGTCAGTGCTCTTAACCTCTGAGCCATCTCTCCAGCCCAACAAGTAGTATTCTTATCTAAAGCAATATCCAATTATAAAATATGGTGAGAACTCAGGTTCTACTCAAGCCAGCAGCTAAGTCTATAAAACTCTGAGAATTTAAACTTGGAACAGAAAAGATCCAGACACAGCAAGCAAACCTTTAAATGATAATATATTTAGAACTTCCATATTCAGTTTGGTAGTCCATAGACACATTTAACTACCCAAATTATATTAAGTCTTCAGGTCCTCATCTCATTGGCTACATTTCTGTTGCTCGGTAACCACATATAGCTAGAGACACTGAGAAGTTCAGAGATGGCTGGTCCCATCATCACAGACCATTCAATGGGCCAGCACCAATGCAGGTGACTCTAATGAACACATAGGACAGGGCAGACTGTAATTGCAGGGACTTGTTCTCAGGGTGTGACGCCCACACTGCCAAGCAGCTGTGTGTATTTATTTGGCCTGTGACAATGGGACTGGAGCCCTTATGAGACAGGTTGGGCTCAGTCAAAGCTGTGAGGAGTGGGGTGGGCTGCCTATGTATGCAGTGAACAACTTGTCACAGGAGATGATGGAGGCTGAGCTAATGGCCTTCATGGTTCTTTCCTGAGGTGACTGCCCTGTCTGGCAGAAAAGTCACCTTCCACTTGAACATCTGTGATGTTCCATTTCACTTTAGCTCCATCAGTGGGAAATTTAATAGCAAGCTAGTTGAAATAAAAAGAAGCTGCCAGGCCAGGCGTTGGTGGTGCACACCTTTAATCCCAGCCCTTGGAAGGCAGAGGCAGGTGAATCTCTGTGAGTTCGAGGCCAGCCTGGTCTCCAGAGCGAGTGCCAGGATAGGCTCCAAAGCTACACAGAGAAACCCTGTCTCGAAAAACAAAACAAAAAAAACAAAACAAAACAAAAAAAAAACAAAAAAAACCCACAAACAAACAAAAAAGCTGCCAAAGCATTTCTAAAATAGACTATAGCAATGGGCTAGAGGCAAGCCTGTAGTTCCATCTGAGTTCATTAAGGTACTTGCTGAGCAAACATGAGGACCAAGTTTCTTCTCCCAGCTCCTATATAAAGAGCAAGATCCAGCATGGTCTGTGTGTAACCTCATAACTGGGGAGATGAGGCTTCCTGGTCAGCCATTATTCTACGCAATTGATGAGTTCTATTTCAGTGAGAAAGTGACCAAGGAGGACACCTAATATCAACCCCTGGCCTCCACACTCATATACACACACCTGCATGAACAGATACACACATAGATTCCCAACCCCAAGGGTATTTTGAGAATATAAGGAAAAGTGAGGACACCCTAATTTTGTCCTCATACATCTCTAGGGACCAGTTCATCCTAATATTAAAATTATTTTTATATCCGCTCGTTTGTTTATTGGGAGATGGGAGTACTTGTGCATATAGAGTCCACAGAAGTTTGCTGATTGATTTCTCTCTATTATATGGGTTCCAGAGATCAAACTCAGGTCATCAGGCCTGGTGGCTGAATGAGAAAGAAAGAAAGAAAGAAAGAAAGAAAGAAAGAAAGAAAGAAGGAAGGAAGGACATGACTGTTCCTAGGTATGGTGGAGGAGAAAGTTTATTGCAGTTAAAAGGGAGAGAGCATAGCCAGAGGCAGGGACATCTGGGAGAGTCCAGAGTGAACATGGCCAGACTGAGCCACGTGGGGAGAGAGGGGTAGGGAGAGGCAAGAGTCAGACCAAGAGACTAGGAGGGCACAGGGTAGATGGAAAGGGCCAGGTAACCAAAATGTCTGGATTATATAGGGAAGGGGAGATGGGGGGAGGGCAACAGCCCCTGGGGTGGAGAAATTTAGGGTAGGGGTGGGGTATGCCAGCCATACCCTGTAGCAGGTAGGGACTGAGGGATGCTGGGAGAACCTGGCAGCCAGGTCCACTTTGATATGTTAAACAGGCACCTCAGTTATTGTCTTAGTTAGGGTTTCTATTGCTGTGAAGAGACACCATGACCACAGCAACTCTTATAAAGGAAAACATTTCATTGGGTGGCTTACAGTTTCAGAGCTTCAGTCCCTTATCATCATGGTGGGACATGGTGGCTTCATACTGACTTGGTGCTGGAGAAGAAACAGATTTCTACATCTTGCACAGGCAAGAGGAAGTGGGTGTGGCTGAAATATATATATATATATATATATATATATATATATATATATATGAGCCCTCAAAGCCCACCCCCACAGTGACACACTTCCTCAACAAGACCACACCCACTCCAATAAGGCCACACCTCCTAATAGTGCCAATCCCTTTGGGAGCCATTTTCCTTCAAACCACCACAGTTAGCCATTTGTTCCTGGTTTAGGACCTAACAGTGGCAAGTGCCTCGCCTTTACCTGATGAGCTGAACTCCCAAGACCAGCTCATTCTAGATCTGGCCTCTCCTTCCCATGTTTTTGTAGCTCGGAACTTTGACCTCAAGAAATCTGAGGACATGCTCCGGAAGGTAGGGCCCTGCCTCCCTGCTTCCTGACTTGCCTCACGCTAACCCATGTTTCTGGCCAGCAAAGAGTGTCTCCTCTCCTGTTTCTTTTTCCATTCTCTTGGATCCTTTTTTGAGCAAGGCCTGAGTCCCTCCTCCTTGCACCCTTCTCCCACCTCCCCAGTTCTGTGAAGCCCCAGGGGACTCTGGTAGAGTCTTATAGCTGTGGGCAGGGATACGTGGCTTCGTGTCCCCAATACCTGCAAAGGCTTTTGGAGATAGGCAGCTTCTGCAGCTTCTCCATGTCTCTGTAGCATGTGGAGTTCCGGAATCAGCAGGACCTGGACCACATTCTCATGTGGCAGCCACCAGAGGTGAGCCCCCTGCAGTATCCCTGAGGCCTGCTGCTGCTGCCCTCCCTCCATCTAGCCACCTGATGGCACAGTGTGGGCTGCTTTGAGTCAGGACTTTGTCCATTTGTCCAGGTGATCCAACTCTATGACTCAGGTGGCCTGTCTGGCTATGACTATGAAGGCTGCCCTGTATGGTTTGACATCATCGGGACAATGGACCCCAGGGGGCTCCTGATGTCTGCTTCCAAGCAGGACATGATCCGCAAGCGCATCAAAGTCTGTGAGCTGCTTCAGCGTGAGTGTGAGCTGCAGAGTCAAAAGGTGAGCAGTGGGGTTCAGGCAGCAGGCATGGAAGCCTTGGTGTGTCCAGGTGGAGGCACTAGGCCCAGGAAAGAACAACACCTTGTCTCTCTAACTCTTGCTAGGTCTCAGTATGATTTTCTCCCACTTTGATTTCTCCATGAGCGTGTGTGTGTGTGTGTGTGTGTGTGTGTGTGTGTGAGAGAGAGAGAGAGAGAGAGACTCTGCTGGCCTGAGGTAAGGTCACCAATGCCTTCTCTTCTGGCTAAGACCATAAAGTGCTTGTCGAGCAAGCATAAAGACCATGTTCAGATTCCCAGCACCCACAGAAAAAGGTAGGCCCTGACATTGACTGTGGGCATAGTGAGAACTCTTAGCACTGTTCCCAGGGTTTCTTGGAACAGCCAACCAGCTTTACTTATGGAAAAGATAGTCACTACTATAGATTCTCTAGCTATGAAAACTGGTAGCCAAGCCATGACTCTGTGCATCCCCCATGGGAATCAAGGGGATACTACAGTGTTACTAAAATATATATGAAATCATCCTAGGGCCACTGAGATGGTTCAGAGAGTAAAGGTACTTGCAACCATGCCTAACAACCTGAGTCCTAATATGGGAGCTAACATGGTGGGAGAAGAGAGCTGAGTCCCATGAGTTGTCTTCTGACTTCCAGACAGGGACCATGGTATGCATCTGCACACACACACACCTGCCACACATGGTAGATAGAGAGATAGATAGATAGATAGATAGATAGATAGATAGATAGATAGAAAAATATTTATGGAAAGTCAGATGTGGTAGTGTGGTAGCACTCGGAGACAGAGGCAGGTGGATCTCTGTGAGTTCGAGGGCAGCCTGGTCTACAGAGAGTTCCAGGACATTCAGGGCTACATACAGAGAACCTGTCTTGAAAAACCGAACAAAATAGATATAGAGAGAGCCCTCAAGAGTGAGGCTTCTACTCCAAGAAGGCCTTCATATTCACCTAGACAGGTCTCATCTCCTGCCCCTGAGCTGCCCTTTGACCTCTGCATCTTTCAGAGCAAACCCAACGTGGAAGGCAGCCTTGTTGCTTTTTCAAATCTGCAATATGAGCCCAGCACGTACCATGGTGCACATGCAGAGATCAAGGACAACTTCTGGGAATCGGATCTCTTTCCACCATGTGGGTCCCAGGAATTAAATTCAGGTCATTGGTCTTGCCAGCAAGTACCTTTACCTGTTGAGCCATCTTGCCAGCCCCGAATCATCATGCTCTAGGCGACAGTGTTGAGCAAACTATGATGATACTCGAGGAGCCTACAGCCTCTGCTAGGGCTCAGGCTCAACATCTCCTCACACTGTAGATGCATACCATCTGTTTTGGACAAGCCATGGGCTTGCCAGGTCTCCCTATCACGGGTTGTGGGTGGCAAGAAGACAAAGTTGGCCAGGATCCCCTGTGTGGATCAATGATCTAACCAGTGTGCCTGCTCTGTCCCTGCAGTTGGGCAGGAAGATTGAGAGGATGATGATGGTGTTTGATATGGAAGGGCTGAGCCTGAGGCACCTGTGGAAGCCAGCTGTGGAGGTCTACCAGCAGGTAAGTCAGGAGACAAGAGCAGTGACGGCTCCAGACCAAGAGGAACCCACAGCCCACACCGGCTTCCCATCCAGGGGACCTGTGGCCCAGCCTGGTCGTGAGATGCTGGCCTTGGGACCACCTTAGAAGGAGGATGAGGAGCAAGGACATCCCAGAGGAGGGTGCACATGTTAAGGGGAAGTCTGGGTTGGGCCTGTTGCTTCAGCAGCATCAGAAATCTGGGCATCCAAGGTGCTGGGAACAACCATGACCAATATCACTTGACTTCACAGTTTTTTGCCATCTTGGAAGCAAATTATCCTGAGACAGTGAAAAATTTAATTATTATTCGAGGTGAGTCTGTGACTGAGATGACCCCTGCTGGGGAAGGGAGACTGGAGTGGGGATGACAGTAAATAAGCCTTTGGGTTAGCACTTCTCAAAATCATCTTTTGTGGAGAATAAGGTTTTTGTTTGTGGTTTTTCACTCCATTCCTTCATAGACTGATACTTTTATAATATGCAAACTCCTGCCCTGGTATGTTGCAGCCATATTAGGTGTCTAAATTTTTGCTGTTGTTTTCTTACTCACTTCAGTGTAGACTAGGCCATGAGCCACACTGTTAGCAAGAATGCTCCCTGTCTTCGATGGCCATCCTGTTTTCCCTGGATTCAGGTGATCTGGGCTCACATCTAGCTAGCCCTCTCATTTTGAGCAAGTCAGTTTCATCTCACTGAGACTCAGATTTTCTGTATTGTGAAGTGGGGACACCATGAGCCCAACCCAGATATTTAGGATGTTAAATGAGAAGATTGCACACAAAACCTGACCCACAGGAAGTGCTCGGTGAGTAAGCAGGTATACCTGGGATGGAACAGGATGTTTAAAACAGGTCCCCCACCCCAAAGGACTCTGAAGTCACCTAGCAAAACCTTGAGTGGGTGTCCTCAAGGAATCACTATTGCTGACCATGGGCCCAGCTTGTGCCCAACACCCTCCAATAGATTAAGGGACACCACGAATGTTGAGATCCAGACACCATGCAGTCACTTTACAGCTAACATCACTAAGACTCAGAGGTGTAAGTCCTTAACTAGCGCTCACACAGCAGGACATAGCAGAATCCGGATCCACACAACTCCTGCCCAGCATAGGCACACCTCGGCTGTGCCTTTATGTACAGCAGTTGTCTCTGGTCCAGCTTCCCAGTGGCCTTCTATGTGTTTCAGCTCCCAGGCTTTTCCCTGTGGCCTTCAACCTGGTCAAATCATTCATGGGGGAGGCGACACAAAAGAAGATAGTGATTCTGGGAGGTGAGTGACTTGACCATTGGCCTCCAGCTGGGGCTAGCTTTGTGCCTGTCTGGAAAGCAGAGAATGCTGCTAAAGGTCCCTTCTCCACAGCCATTGGCTTTGACCTGCCTCATCGGCACACAGAGCTGGTCTTCCAGTTCTGGATCATGGCCTAAAAGCCTAAGAGTGCTCTGAGGAGTAAACTCGCAGGGGAGCAAATGGTCCTCCCCATGGGCTCTCTGTTGGTCCCTTCAGATCCCCCTCCCTGTTCCTCACACAGATAACTGGAAACAGGAGCTACTCACATTCATGAGCCCTGACCAGCTGCCTGTGGAATTTGGGGGCACCATGACTGATCCTGATGGTAACCCCAAGTGCCTGACCAAGGTACAGAGTTCCTGGAGGATGGGGAGGGAGTAGCCCACTGTGGCCGACTATCAACTTACCCACCCCTGACTCACAGATCAACTATGGCGGCGATGTGCCCAAGCACTATTACCTGTGCAAGCAGGAGAGACCACAATATGAGCACACAGTGGTTGTGGGCCGAGGCTCCTCCCACCAGGTGGAGAATGAGATCCTGTTCCCAGGCTGTGTGCTCAGGTAGGGACCGTGACTGGGCACACCTGGAAGGGCCTCCCAGTCCACACAGGAGGTGGTCAGTGGACTCTCTCCACTGCAGGTGGCAGTTTGCATCAGATGGTGGAGACATTGGCTTTGGAATTTTCCTAAAGACCAGGATGGGGGAGCGGCAGAAGGCTGGGGAGATGGCAGAGGTGCTGCCTAGCCAGCGCTACAATGCCCACATGGTGCCCGAGGATGGGAGCCTCACCTGCTCCAAGGCCGGAGTCTGTAAGGACATCCTTTCTTCTGGGGCTGCTCTGAGGAGGGTTTCTGGGAACTGTGAAGAGCTGGTGTAATGCTGGGGTGCTAGAAGGGGCCTTACCCCTACTGTGGTCACCATACTCCCAGGAAGTGGTCATGAGCAGTGGGCTTGGGTCAGGGCAGTGGCTGACACTCAGGTCTTACCCATGGGCCTGGTCAGAGCAATTCCCAGCATCGCCAGGAGTGCACACGAGCTAACGACATAAGTCTGTCACTTCTCTGTCCTTGCAGATGTCCTGCGCTTTGACAACACCTATAGCCTCCTGCATACCAAGAAAGTTGGCTACACTGCAGAGGTGCTGCTCCCAGACAAGGCCTGTGAAGAGAAGTTGCAGGGCCTCAGGGCAACAAACCCTCCTCAGAACAGTGAAGACTCTGACCGCCTCTGACCCTGCTCCATCCAACTCCTTCACACACCCCTGCCTCTTTCCCCCACCAGGCATGGTGGTGCTGAAAGTGGCTTCAGAGATCTCCAACCCCCATCTCTATCTGAGCCTCCCATGGGACAACTTATACACAGACCAGCACTTTTATCCCCTGTACCTAGAGAATGGACCCTGTCCTTGTTCTTGTCCTCTTGAAGACACATACCCACCCCAGGATTCTCCCATGCTGGTATCCCAGCTGGGATCCAGTACATGAGATATATGTTTGTCCCCCACAGGAAGCACAGCTTCAGAGATGGTTTCTCTCCAACTGGAGGTCAGCAAGGATGGAAGGGCCAGCTGGAGGCAGCTGGGTAGCCTGTGAAGGAGGGGCAGGGCCCCAGCTCCAACAGAGCATCAAGGCCTCTCTAATTTCTGCCGCCTTTGGGAGGAATAGCAGAAGTGGAGAGGCAGGATGTGGCAGGGAAGCCATCAGAGGCAAAGCCATACTCGGCTTTACAAGGTTGAGCAGGGTGTTGAGTCCAGTGAAGAGATACACACATGCACACATGTGTGCATGCATCTCCCCTCCCCTCCCCCACACCTGCTAGGATCCTGCTGATACTCAACTTGGACTATTTCCAATTTCTTAAGGCAGTTGCCCCTGCCAAGCCATCTTCAAATTCACCATGTAACCCAGGCTGGCCATACATCAATCTGCCTTCTTCAGTGTCCTGAGTGCTGGCATTGCAGATGTGTGGAGTGCTGGGATGTGCACCACTATGCCCGGCTGTCTTTAGGTCTGGCCTGAGTGGAGTTCAGAACCAAAGCTAAGCTGCAGGGAGATAACAGAAGTGGAGTGCAGGGTGAATCATTCTGGGGGGTTCATCCTGGCTTCTAACATGCTTCTTGGAGAACATTCCAGCATTCCACCAATCTGCATGTCTCTAAGGAGAGAATTGAAAGGCAGCTGCCAACATCGCTTCCCCATGTGACCCAGGAGGTGGCCAGGGACAGCTTCTGCATGTAGTATCTCAAAGGCTGGCCATCCTGGACTCCACAGGTAGTCAGCCAGCCCACCATTGCTCTGTTGGGTGGACTGAACCTAACAGAGCAGATGCTGCCAAGCTTGATCCAGTGTGCCTCTTTGTACAGGCTCAGAGGAGCCTAGGAGTCTTGCTAGTAATGCACTGCTTCTTCTTGGGCCTCTGGTTGGGACAGAAAACCTATGTCACATGTAGGGTGGCTCAGATACCGTTTCAGTATCACTTATGTAGCCTTCTTTGTCCTTCTGTGCTGCTGGGCAAAATGTCCCAAAAAGTGAATGGTGAGATGTTCCTGGAAAAGAGGTCCTTGTTTCAAAGTGCCACCACCCTAGAAACATTAGCCATCTAGGCTCTGTCCAAACAAGAAGCCAGGCCCTGGCCTCTCTCCTGTTTTCAAATGCCATCATTTGATTTTCTCTGCTTGCTAAATGTCTTCATTGTTAAAGACATTTTAGTGGGGGTGACATTCAGCCGGCGGTGCAAGGAGACAGACCTTCCACCCTAGACCATGGCCAAGCTCGTCGGTAACTTCGTGGAGAAGACCCCGGCGCTTCCATGACTTACTCGAAGCCTTGATTGGCCACATTTTGGTACTACACCAAGGTTGAACTGGTTCCCCCAATCCCTGCTGAAATCCCTGCAGCTATTCAGAGTGTGAAAAAAATAATTCAAAGTGCTAAAACTGGTAGCTTCAAACAGCTTACAGTTAAAGAAGCTGTGCTGAATGGTTTGGTCGTCACTGAAGTATGGGTGTGGTTTTATATTGGAAAGATCGTAGGCAAACATGGCATCATTGGCTATGATGTTTGAAGACTGATCTTTAACATCTGATTTTATTTGAGTGTTCTTGGACCACATGTGATGAGACTGTTATCTGAATAAAACACTAGCTGTCAAGAAAAAAAAATTTAGTGGAGAAAAGCAATAAGTCTTGAAGATGAGGGACTCTTCAGGGTAGCCCCCTAGCCACCATACCTGGACCATTTACAGTCAAGGTTTAGAGTCTGAATAGGGGGATAAATGCCAAGAGGCAATGCCATAAGAAATTCCTGCCTAAGATCAGCTTAAGTAGATTGACAAGAAGGAAAAAATTCTATGATTTTGCTGGATCCAAAGAGAGCCTGGAACTGTAAGAGTCACAAGGCATTTCCAAGTCCAGGGCTGCTCCTCCACTTGCAATATTGTCTCCCAGAGGCACTCCAGCTGCTTGGGGTCATTTCCCCACATGTTTGGCAGACTGAAGTGGTTGTCACTAACTGGTTAGAACTGTCTTGAGTCCATTCATCTCACTCCATGTAATGATGAGTACTCAGAGAGACTCAACATAGCCTTAAAATAAAAGGCTTCTGGACTTGAACCCTGACCCTTGCCCTTCTAACCACCCACAGCCAGTTTTCCCCTTCAGTGCAGCCTCACTAGTATTCCCTTGCTGGTAACAGAGACATACTTGCCCTGTGTACAAGGACAGCCAATGCTCCCATCAGAGGACAGATACACCATTTCTGGGAACAGAGGGGTGGGCAGCAGGCACCAGCAGCTCTGGCTCCCAGAGCTGGCACAACATGCCTCATGGTTAAGCAATGGTCACAGAGGTCACCTGAGGAAGTGATGCAGAACCTGCCTGGCAACTGGACAAGGCATTGAGAGCTCAGGAAGTCATGTGTCCTCAGCAAACCCTCACTCTTGCAGGCAGGTCCAACTCTCTGAAATTGCAACACGATGTTGTCATCCACAAAGCTTATAATTGAGAACCATGCCAACCGAGTTACAAAACAACCCCAAACCCACAGAAAAAAACCCATATAACATTTCATGCAATTTTAGGGATTCTGTGCTTGGCCAGGTTCATAGAGATCCTGAATCTCATGCAGCCTGTAGTGCCAGGTTGGACACCCCTTACAGAGTGTCAGTTTTGATTTTTTTTTTTTTTTTTTTTTTTTTTTTTTTTTTTTGTGTGTGTGTGTGTGTGGTTCTGGAACTATGTCATGTCCTTGCACTTGCTAGACAAGCACTCTGCTTGTGAGCTGCATTCCCTGGAAAAAAAAAAACCAACAACAACAACCCCCCCCAAAAAAAACCCCCAAACTGATGATTTGATGATCCCCCCCCCCCGCAAAAAAAGATTTGTGCCTTCAATTACTTATGTACTCGTCATTCTTTAGTGTTTGTTGAGCATCTGTCCAGCAGCACCAGGTGTTGCAGGCCCTGGGGACAGTAAGGATGCTCAGCTGATCGAACTCCACCAACTGGAAGCTTCAAGGAAGTGGCCACAGAAGGACTTGGGGTGGGACGATTAGATGGGGATATATCTCTAGGGTGAAGGATGAGATATAGGTAGCCATAAGGCATTTGGGGCCAGAGGAGAGTCAGAATAGTTTAATAGTTGTCAATACATTGTGCTTTGATGTAAGTTACAAAATGACTGTAAGTGTGCAGTTTGTTAGGGTAACAGCAGTTTTGATAGGGGGTTGTACATCCAAGTGCTTCAATAAGGTGCTAGGAATTCTGAGGCCTTCTCTAGCTAGGGGACGGAGGCAAGGCCTACTCCACCCTGACCATCTCCTACAGAAAGTCCTCACAGTCTTTGGAAGAAGGCACGTGGAGCATTTATAGGGGTGTTTTTATGGCAGTTAGAAAGACTCCCCTACCTACCCACTCCCAGATTCCCAGCCAAGCTCATGAAGTTGAAAGGGACACAACAGTCTGGTGTTCAGGGCAGGTTTTAGGCTGTGTTCTATGGCCCAGCCCCCCACAGTTCACACAACTTCTTGTGTATCACCCTGAAGCAGAGATGAAATCCTATTTTACCGGCCAGGACACAGAGGCTCATCAAAGTGGGGGTATGCCTTGAACAAAGCCTGTATCTAAGGGCAAACTGGGGCAGATATCCAGGTCAGCCTCCCACCGTGCCCTCATTGCCTTCTGAGAGGAGAGGGTTGACTTGGGCATGTCCTCTATGAAGGAAGACTGTGTGGGGGTTGGGCCTCAGTGTGGGCCAGAGGGAGGCATGGAGTTCTAGGGGCTAGAAATAGTCCAGCTCACTCCCAACTTACAGTGTGCCCAGGCCAGTCTGTGGCAGAAAGCCTTATGGATTGTTACAGGAGAGGAGATCCAGCTTTCAGGAGGAAGTGACTTGTCCTCAGATACAACATAAGGAGAGAGGGGGGAAGGAGAGAAAGGAGGGAGAGAGGAGAGAGAGGGAAAAAGAGAGAGAGGAGGGAGGGAGGAGGGAGAGGAGGGAGGGAGGGAGAGAGAGAATAGCAGGGTGGTGGCACACACCTTTAATCGCAGCACTCAGGAGGCAGAGACAGGTGGATCTCTGAGTTTGAGGCCAACCTGGTCTACAGAGTGAGTTCCAAGACAGCCAGGATTGTTACACAGACAAACACTGTCTAAAAAAAAAGGAGAGCTAGCAAGATGTGAATTTGAGGAACTGGGCAGGGATACAGCTTGGTGGTAGAGCACTTGCTTACTTGCTTAGCACTGCAAGGCCCTGGGTTCAGTCCCCTGAACCACCCAAACAACAACAAAACCCCACAGACGTGAGTCCATCTGGCCTGAGAAGTGGGAGGCTTCATAGAAAGAAAGCCAGGCCAACCAGGTACTGAGACCTGCTCCCTCAACCTTTGACTTCTGTCTTCCTCCACCAGGGGGCAGTGTTGGGCCAGACATACCTTGGCTCACTAGGGATGCAAACAGTCCATTTGCCTCATGAAGAACCCCTTTACCTCACAGGTCAAGGAAGCCAAGCCCACCATCTCCAACTGTTTGAGGTTGCTCAAAGTGGCAGAAAGAGGTGGCCTGATCCCTCTTTTCATATCTTGTCTTGGCAGCTTGTTCTAACTGGACCTTGTCTTCCTCCCATAGGCCCTGCCCTGTCACCTACACTTCCAGCTTAGATGATTTAAGACTATTGCCACCGTCCTACCCAGACTCCAAAAGCCATAAATGTCCCTGAAATGACAACTGGATCACATT